AACAAAAAAAAAAAAAAAGAAAAGAAAACCTACTGTGTGCCTAGCCATGCTATTGACATTTTTAATTTCACAGTACAAAAAAGCATGTTCACATCTACAAATGGGAATGAAGTTATTTCCTAAGGTTAGTTCCAATTAAGTGTCTTAGCTAGAATTTAAACCCAGCTTTGTTTAATTCCATAGGTCAGACCATTTTCTTACCATAGTCTAACTTCCTAACTCTAAGCATGGGGCTAAGTTTAATTTAGAATCCTTTAAAACAGTGGTTGCTAGAGTTGTATAGGTAAAGAGCTCTGCCATTCCTTTGAGTATTCACCATGTCTATAGATAAGGGTAATGTGTGGTGGTTGAAAGGTGACTTAGTAACTAATCAAATCTAGTTGTACCAGTAAGTTCCATGAAGATGCAGTATATACTTCACTTGAACATCAAAAATTATATGGAATTTCAGATAAAATAATGTCATTGAGATGTAATTAAGGTTTATGGATATGTAAAGCAATGATTGGGGTAGGGAGGACTTAGCGGGGAAAGAAAGGCTGCCGTAAAACTATAAGAAATGTAAACCTGAAAATAAAGCCTCAGTAATACTGTAAAGCTAGATGGGATGCCACATGTAGACCAGGCCACGGCAAGTTTCTGAAAGATACAAAATGAACGGGAATGGATATAGCCAACAAAACCTCAGACATGTGAAAGAGAACTCCGTAGAAGCAAGGTTTCCTGTAGAACCCAGAATAACCCAGATACCAGAGCCGTGTAGGCTGGGAGAAGAAGTAAAACTGGGGATATTATTATATCATATAAAAGTCACATTATGTGTTGTTGGACATGTATTGGCTCTGCAGGCATAGTTTTGCCTTAGGGAGTGAGTGCTATCAAACTTTTTGTCCTGTGTCTAACCCACATTGTTTTCTTAAGCAGTGTTCAGTACAGCTCTTATAACATTTCACACATCAATTGTTTCAAGCATATTTGTACATATGTTGCCATCATCATGTTCTAAACATTTAGATTCTATTTGAGCCCTGGGTATCAGCTCCTCTTTTTTCCCTCCCTCTCCCCAGTCACTTAAGTTTTTAATCTGTGTAAGTGAACATCCCTTATATTTTATAACAGTAAGTTTTCTCATGTATGTCCATTTTCATACAAGTATTTTAAATTCTGGACAATTGTCTAGATTAATGATAGTATAAGAATTATCAAATGTTCCCTGCATTTCACCAGAAACTGATAATGGTGTGAAACCAGGATATGTATAAACCTTAGATCTACTGAATGGATTTTGAGTTTGCACCTCCCTGTAAGTCCTATTTTAAGAATCATTAGTTATGATGATGTGGCCCTACTCAATACTTGCCTTCTTAAAGTGATCACTGAAAATATGGGTGCTATGGCAATGTTTGGTAAAAACAAAGCAAAAAACAAAACAGATGGTGCCTGGTTACCAGAAAGAATAGCTCCTGTGCACAACCGTTGAAGACAAAGTGGGTGAAGAAGCAAATGTGGTGAAGAA